GCTGCAAGGCCCTCCAGCGGCGCGCCCACAGTATACCTTGTAGTCCCGCAGGGTTTGGGATTTAGGGGGTTTAGGGTTTATAGGGTTTAGGGTTTAGGATTTATAGGGTTTAGGATTTAGGATTTATAGGATTTAGAGTTAGGGTTAGCCCAGATGAGCCTCATATAGCACTTATATACCTCCTAGTCTCCCCATATAAGCCGAATGTTTGCGTAACCACCTGGTAACTCCCCACTACCCCCTAACCCCTAAACCCTAACCCCTTAGCCCCAAACCCTTAACCCTGAACCCTAAGCGGAGCCCTAAACCCTAAACCCAAAGCCCTGAACCCTAAACCCGAAACCAAAAACCCCAAACGAAAGTTACCTTAATGGACCCTGGGCCAGAGGATCCTTTCCTGAGTAGTTGAGTGGATTACTTTAGCGGTATTTTATAGGGTTTAGGGGTTACGTATTAGGGGTTTGGGGTTGAGGGGTTTCGGGTTTAGGCTTAGTGGGTCTAGGCATAAGGGTCAAGGGTTTGGGGGTTTAGGGATTAGGATTTAGGAATTAGCTTTTAAGGGTTATAGTGATTAGGGTTTAAGAATTTAGGGATTAAGGTGTAGAGGTTAAGGGGTTAGGGTTTAGGGATTAAGGGTATTAAGGGTTAAGGGAGTAGGGTTCAGGGTTCAGGGCTTAGGGTTCAGGGTTTAGGGTTCAAGATGTTACCTTCAATAGCGGAGAGAATCAAACTTAAAGAATTTGAAAATGCAGTGGAAGCTAGGCTATGCATGGTAGATGTGGGGGTTCCTAAGCTCATTATAATGCGGGTCCCTCTAGTGGAGTTCCTGTTATGATACAGGTCCCCGTTAAAAAAAAAGCCTCGCTTTGGAACAGTATCTAAAACCAAACCCTAGGTCCCTTTAAAGGGGTATATAGGGATTATATTGGGTTATATAAGGGTTATATTGGGATAATGGAAAAGAAAATGGATACTACTATTTAGGGTCTAGGGTTTAGGTTTTAGGGCATGGTATAACATCTTACTAGACCTGAATGATTCTTTTTTCCGTGCCAGGGAACCCAGCAGCTAGATTTCACAGAACGCTAGGGAATTACGTTGCTCTGTATGGGCCATAAGCTAAATTCCTTAAAGGGGGTTATTCCAGGGATTATATCAGGGACTATTATTGGGCTTTTATGAGGAAGATACTAGGAGTTTAGACCATAGCGCATATAGTTGTTCATTGGGACCGCATTGCCGCAACCTTGCGGGTATGACCTGGTGGCTACAACCCTGGAACCCCAGACTTACTAGAGGTTAGTAAGGAATATGAGAATATATCATATAGGGTTTATGTAGGGATTATATCCCCTCATTCCCTACTAAGAACCAGGAAGTTGAGCTAGATCCTGAATCCTGAATTAGGGTTGAGGGTTTAGGGATTGAAAGGTTGAGGGTTTCGGAATTGAATGTATGGTTTAGGGGTTCAGGGGCTTAAGGGCTTGGCTCAGCGCTAAAGCCTTGGACACGTAGACAGTAGGCCCGCAGGAGGTTTCAGCAAGGCTCCAACCCTAAATCTTAACCCTGTAACCCTAAACCCTAAAGCCCAAAGCCAGTAAAGCCCAGGTATACCCTAAACCCTTAACCCTAGTAAACCCTAGACCCTAAATAGTAGTATCCATTTTCTTTTCCATTATCCCAATATAACCCTTATATAACCCTATATAACCCCCATATAGTCCCTGTATAACCCCTATATAATCCCTATATAACCCCTATAGAACCTTATATAACCCTATATATCCCTATATAATCCTATATAACCCTATAATCCTTATATAACCCCATATAACCCCTGTATAATCCCTATATAACCCAGCCAAAACCCTAAACCCTAAACCCTAAACCCTATATACCCTAAACCCTAAACCCTATATACCCTATACCCTAAACCCTAAACCCTATATAACCCAGCCCAGGTATGTGCATCATGTTCGCCGGCCTTGCTCTTTGGGTCGTGGCCTTCTACCTGCCGTACGCGTGGCTCCAAAGCTGATCTAAAAACTAAATCTAAGGGTTTAAAGGGTTTAAGGGTTTGAATCTGGGGGGTTATATTTGGATAATGGAAAAGAAAACGGAAAGTACTATTTGGGGTTTAGGGTTCAAAGGGTTTAGGGTCCCCCTTAAGTAGATAGAATATGGGATATATGGGGATCTTATTATAATCTACCCAAAGCCATATTCTATCTACTTAAGGGGGGCTATAAGGGTTTAAAGGGTTTAAGGGGTTTAGGGTTGAGGGTTTAAAGGTTTAATGTTGAGGGACTGAGGGTTTGAGGGTTTAGGGTTTAGGGTTGGGCTTTAAGGGTTTGAGGGTTTGAGTAGGGTTTAGGGTTGAGGCTTTAAAGGGTTTAAGGGAAGGTTTGAGGGTTGAAAGGCTTTACGGGTTTAGGGTCGGAACAAATGCAGAGACTGCAGTAGTGCTTAGTGGGTGTAGTTCTTGAGCCAGCATTCCACACTCCGCTAGGCCTTACGTAGTAAATCATTATGAGCTATAGTCTAAACTCCTTAAAGGGGGTTATATAGGGGATTATATGGAGGACTATTATAGGGGATATTAAGGGGGATACTAGGAGTTTAGCCTATGGCTCTTATGGTTTCGGGTATCA